AAAAAAAAAAAAAAAAAAAAAAAAAAAAAAAAAAAAAAAAAAAAAAACCAGGCATCTCTGGGGCTCCTTTTTTTCCTGGTGGTCCTGGAGATCCAATTTCTCCCTTTTGGCCCATTAATCCTTGGCTTCCAGGAAATCCTAGATTTCCAATTCTGGGACAGCTGCAATTGGCACGGGCCTCAGGCTGCTTCTACTCATGGCAGAAAATGGCAGGCAGCCAGCAGATACAAGCAGATCACATAGTGAGAGGAAGTAAGAGAGTTTTAGTTCTTGAACTAAACTGAATACCATATTGTGAATCTTTCAAGATTTAATCTCATCAATATACTTACTATTTTCTCCAATAGTTATATTTCTCATAGAAAAAGCAGAAGCCACTGGATGCGTTAAAAATCCTGTTTCAGCTTCACATTTAAAAAATGCCTACCCACTAGATCCTAGCTACTCTCAACAGGCATCTTGTGACAACTAATCAAAATGCAAGTGGAAAAAAATGAACAAAAGGAAGATCTAGTAACTCAAGAGACTTTGAACCCATTATACTATTTTAATGATGAAAGTAGAACTCTATTCATTACAGCATTTAAGAATTCCTCTGAGATGGCAGGCTTTAAGAAAAATTATTTTAAAATAATTTCAAACCTACAGAACTGTTGCAAGATTGGTACAAACGACTCCAGTACGTCCTTCACCCAGATTCCCCAATTAACATTTCCCCCATTTGCTTGCTCTGTGTGTACAACATGTTTTTTCCTAAACCATTTGAGAGTTAGCTACAGACATCATCACATCCCTTCAACCCTAATATTTTGCATGTACTTTTTAAAAACAAGGGCATTCTCTTCTATAACTACAGAATGTTTATCAAATTAGAAAATTTAACACTCATACAATACTATTACCTGGAATACAGTCTACACTCAAATTTCACCAATTATCCCAATTTTCTCTCCTGATACAAGATCTAATCTAGGACTTTGTGTTTCATTGACTTATCAAATCTCTTTTGTCTCCTTCAATCTGGAATAGTTCCTCAGCCTTTTTTTACTTTCATGACCTTAATATTTTTGAAGAATTGCTTTACAAAATCCCTCAAATTGGTTTGTCTGAAGTTTCACATCATTAGATTCAGGTTACACATCTTTGGCATGAATAGCACAGAAGTACTGTTGTACCCTTCTATGTGCATAACATCAGAAGATGATCACCTAGTGAAGGTGGTGGCCCTTCACTTTTTCCACAGTAAAGTTCGCACATTTCTCTTTGTAATTATAAGTAACCCGTGGGGAGACAATTTGAAACTATGTAAATAAGGGGCCAGCCCGTGGCTCACTTGGGAGAGTACGGTGATAACACCAAGGCCACAGGTTCGGATCCCTATATAGGGAGGGCTGGTTATCTTACTTGGGAGAGTGTGGTGCTGACAACACCAAGTCAAGGGTTAAGATCCCCTTATTGGTCATCTTGAATGAAAGAAAGAAAGGAGAGAGGGAGAGAGAGAGAGAGGGAGGGAGGGGGGAAGAGAGAGAGAGAGAGAAAGAAACTATGTAAATGTCCTGTTTCTCTTCAAATTTCCTACTGTTGATTCCTCCACAAATTAATTATTACTATGAAAACTGCAAAATGGAAGAACTTTTACTCTGTCCCCTTATATATTTCATTTATTTATTCTATTCAATGGGCTGTAAACCATTATTGTTATTATTCATTTTGAAACTCATATTGCCCCAGATTTGGCTTGAGCTGGCTCCTGTGTCCTTCTAACATGTCATTTTTTGAACACTTCCTTACTTTCTGATACTAAAAGATATTCCAGGCTCATCTTTTTTTTCGGGGGGGGGGGGGGGTGGTGTGTCAGTGGGCCCGTACAGGGGTCCAAACCCTTGACTTTGGTATTAAAAGGATGTGCTCTCACCAACTGAGCTAACCGGTCAGCCCCAGGCTCATCTTATACTTATCCTAACCTAGCACTGGAATCAACCATTTCTCCAAGGAACTCTGGTTCTTTTTAGTGGAGAATGTTTATTTAGAAACTGTCTCTTTTTAAATTAAATCTTAAAGTGTAATTAAGAAAACAGAAAAAAGCAGAGATTTGGGATATAAGTGGTCATGAGCCTTGTCTAAAAACTTCTCTAAGTAGTAGAACCTCACACCTTGCTGCCTATAATAATTAAATTGCCAGAATAAATGTCCTAGATAGTCACCGGAGCAGCCCTAAGGCTCTCCTGATCTCAAAATTTACCATTTAAACTATCATAAATTCTAGGGCTGGCCCAGTGGCGGTGGCGCTCCCGCCGAGGGTTCGGATCCCATGTGGAGACCGGTTCCCGCTCACTGGCTGAGCGCGGTGCGGGCACAACACCGAGGGTTGCGATCCTGTTGCCGGTCAGTAAATAAGACAAAAAGGAAAAAAAAAAAAACTATCATAAATTCTAGATCTACATGGCTAAAAATAAACTTTTATCCTATGTTATTATTAATAATTTATCGTAATTAGATATTCTTTCATGGATTAGAAACACTGCATTGGGCCGGCCCGGTGGCACACTGCTACAGTGCGCCGCTTGGGAGCGCAGCGGTGCTCCTGCCGAGGGTTCGGATCCCACATGCAGACCGGCCACTCACTGACTGAGCAAGGTGCGGGAGCAACACCGAGGGTTGCGATC